TTCAGTTGAAACTCTTCGTTTCACATCATTCCCACGTAACTGTTAATACACGAGTAAGTGTTTGCTGAATTTCCGTTTGAAAAGTTTGCTGAATCGCTATCCTAGCAGAGAATTGCTTTTGACGTTTCCTTTTATAAAATACTGAACTTTTTTCTTCGGTCGGATTGAAAAATCATTCTGCTTTTAGATCAATTGATTGCAATGCAAAGGATAGGTTTTCTCTTTGCATAATTGAATGCTTCAATTTCTTTATGAACAAGGCTCTTATTGTTATTGTTATGTAGTTATGTTTTATAAAAATCATTTGTAACAAGATTATCAACACGATTGATATGCTATTATTTGTCCCCTGCATAACCAGCACCAATTGTCCCTTGCATCCGCTGTTCCTCAAATCTAACAATCAGTGATAAAGTTATGACCATCCCATTCACAAACGCATATACTATATCGGGTCATCAATCACTCTTGAAGATATCAACTCGCTTCTGTCCATCATTACNCCAAATCGGGCAGAATTTCTGTTAAGAAATGCCGATCAGGTGATGATCTCTTTCCGTTGCTTCCGTTATCATATTGTCATTGCTTGCAATCCAAATAAATATGTTATAAATTAATATCTTTAATATCTTTCCATGATTAGTGTAATGATTCCGATGTTTTAATTTAAGTTGTGTAGATCAATATTCATTTCAAGCTTTCATTTAGCTGAATACTATTATTTTTATCATTCTCATAGTGGTCTTATGACAGGACGATGCGTTTGTTGATATTATTCAATGAAAATAATATGTTTCAAACTAATATTAACATTGTCGAAGACATCTCTATTACTGTATTGAGCAGAAAATTTCCTCCTTCTTGACTCAACAAATATATAGAAGCTGAATGTTATTGCTACTATAATAATAATATCTTTGCTCATATTATATAACTAATCGGTATTGAATAGCGGAGTTATATTACTAATCGGCATTAATTGTTATCTTATCACTCGGACGTTTGTGTGTTCTTTGATTACGTAAATTTTCCTCACTTTCATTAATTGATAATATTTTCGCAAAATGATCTATCTTTATCACAATTCGTCATATTTGACATTAACGGAGCATCGAAAGATGGCCAAAGAGTACTATCTCATCCTCCTCGAATACACAAATTTATCTGAAGTTTTTCTGGTATAGGAATGTTCTCTACAGTTAAAGTTGTGTTTGAGATATCTGAAATGGTCTATTCTAATTAATGTTCTCATTATATTTCTATTCGAATGAATCCTATATGCATAGTTCCAATACTGATTAATCGTGTTTAATTACTTCAGAAGAAATCTGAGTCGAATGGAGCATGGTCGATGTCCGTTTAGTAATTATCAGCTGGAATTGTTGGACGACACTAAAATCACCAAAGAAATTAGCCAAAACAACAACAACGGCACATCAACTGATCAAAATGGCGGCATGACCTATTCACAGTATCTTCAAGTACTTAATCTAATCTCATCTCTTCATTTGAACCTTTCACATGAGCAGAAAATTTCATCCTTCTACGACTACACACATTTATGTAGAAGTGTACCACCTATAACTAATTGTGCATATACTTGTACTGGCAAAATATTGGAAAAATTAAAAAAATGACATAGTAGCCATTCGAACCAATATTTTTTTGAAATGATATCAAGCAAATTACATATGTGCCCATTGGTAGAAGATTGTGCAAAAAAAGGTCGCTCCAGTGCTCCTTCAAGGGAACGAGAACAGATTCGTTTTACGATCTATCGTAAAACAGCTGCGTGCATTATTCCCATAGCTAATGATTAGGGCCCAGTTTTTTTGGATGGGAATGTTTTCAGATATTAAAATTATTATATCAGACATAATGAAATGATTTATAATTGCCATTACATTTATCATTATCATTAAATTGATTCAGTAAACAGCACATTATGCTATATTGTTGAATACCTTTCATTACAAGTCTTTCTCATTGAAAACAGTTCAACGTATTCACAAATCGCTAGAACTCCCTAAGACTGAGCATGACTAATTTCTCATGTCTGGAGATGCATTAAGAAAGTTTGAAAGATGCGTTTAATTGCTTCAGTTTAAGAATTATGCTCAAAAGATCTGAAATATTTTCCTCAACAACATTCAGTCACGAAAAATGATTAATGACAGAGTTAATGCTTAAAAGTCAATAGAAAATTTCGTTATTTATCGAAACAAATATTTTATTTACAGTTAGATAAACTACTGTCATGTCAAAAACTGCTCTCGGAGGAAGATGGAAATATCGTCAACGATGAACATCTCTTTATCACTACTCACCAGGTCTATGAACTTTGGTTCAAACAAATCAATTTTGAAATGGATAATATCATGGCATATTTAAACAATAAAGTACGTTCCTTGCACGAAAGCACTCTTTCTTCCAATTAGTATTCAGATTTATTCACGCATAAATTGAGTTCCATTTGTCTACTCATTCATTTTGTTATATTTTCTCGGTAATTTGGGTTTTTTTGCCCACCTCTGAACAATTTAATCGAGACTTTGCAAAAACTAATGAATCACCGAATCAATATTAACAGATTGTTGATGAAACAAAAACATTAAGAATCGTTAGTGGTCTTGAAAGAATTGTTCGTATACTGAAACTTCTTACTGATCAAATGCTCATTCTTGAGACGATGTCACCGCTGGATTTCGTTGAATTTAGGTAATCAAAATCTTGATTTTATCTGATATCTTCTACTCACATTGTCACCCTTTGATATCAAACAAACAATCGTAAGATCATAATTTTCATTGTTATTATCTGCGTAAAGCAACACACAAAAAGTCAGTCACATGAAAGCCATTTGCAATGAAATTTTATCAGTAACCGTAATGAATTCGGAGAGTTGTTTCTGAGACAAATTTAAAAACTGATCAATGAAGTTGGATGCAAAGATATTATTTAAGAAAATATCTCAAGTCATCGTCGGGCTTCCAAAGTTTTCAATTCCGTATTCTTGAGAATAAACTCGGTATTGTATCAGAAGGACGTATCAACTATAACTCTCAACACTATGCAGCTGTTTTCAAGAATGAACACGAACGAGCGATGGTTCAACGCTCTGAAGATGCAACTTCACTGTTGAATCTTATTGAGGTTATTTGATACATTTTTGTGATTCCTCCAATGTACATATCACTATTGTTGTCTCTTATCAATATCAATGATCAGCACAGAAAATTATCACTTATCATTATTAGTATTCAGGATAGATGTATACTGATTGTGAGCGTTTTGGTTGCTTCATGCAAATAAATTTTTTAATGGCGACTAAGCAGTTGCTTAGGACATACAGGGTGTCTCCAACGTTTGAACACATAGGCAAGAGTATAATATAATTTTGCAAGATGTAACTCAATTTATAATAGCCGGTTGGAATATGAGTAAATAATATCTTTAATATGTTTTTGCATCACTGATGACGCAAAAGTTCGACGTACTTTGTTAAATCAATTGCGTAGAATTTCAGTTCTTGAAAGTATAGTTTCTGCTGATCCATTCAAACATTAGGGACATTCTGTACGTAGAAGATGGGGGAATAGAAATCTGAATAAAGGGTTTCCTTGAGAAAATGATTAGCTGAATAGCTGAAGCGATCAGAAGAATATCAACTGGAGAAAGTGATCTGAAAAAGTGTTGAGCATAGGAATAGATCAACTTATTGAATGTGTAGAAATGGCTTGAACGAACACCAGGAGTCCAATCATCCTGTGGCGAACCAGGATTCTGGAGCACATATGTAAACGCTGTGGAGAAGTACTTGGACGATTTGAAAATGAAATCTGAGGTAAACACACGTTTCAGCCTATAAAATTATTTTGTACTCATCCAAAATCGTTTTAAAAACTTACCGAGGAGACCACTGAATATTTTGCACTCTTTTGTCATTATATATTCAAAAAGAGTTCTAGAGTTCTGTTTTTGCTATTCATCTATCTTTTTGTCCTCATGAACCCTCTCTCACATCGAATTATATCAGTTAACCTTCATTGCGATCTTCATCAGTTTTTGACGGGCTTCCATGCATCATTTCATCCATTCGTACGCGATTTCAAAAAAGAACTGATCATTTCACTTCCAAAAGTATCACTCATCCTACGTATCCCTTCTCGAATCGCTGCTTTTCAAGTCACTATTATCCACTCAAATGATTTTCAAGTCACTGTTATTCAAAAGTTTTCTTCCTAGTTTCAACTGAAATAATCATATAACCAAATTCAGAAAAATGGATTATCAATCGAAACTTCTAACGAATACCACGCCGAATATATCAAAATAAGGGTTGGTTTCAATTGATGTTTTTGATTTTTCTGATTCGTGAGATTTATTGACTGGCACAATTGCATTTTTTTACTCCAATTAGTACGATCGATTGGATGATCTACCGAAGAAGTTTGATACGAAAGCAAATTTAATCTTATTCAATGCTGAATTCACTGACAAATCGAAATGAAATAAATCATGGTTGACGAATCTGAATGTTCCCATTCGAAGCATCTAAATTTTTGCATTTCAGGACAGCTTCAACTCATTGATAGATGCACAACAACATAACA